ACATCTCGTCATATAGATTGGCCCCTACTAATATTTATATCGGTGGTTGGTTACATCGCTTAAATACCCCAAAAAAACAAAAGAGCAAATTTTCTTAACAAAATACTAACTAAATTGCAACATATAGCATCACGAGTTTCAAATGTTGAGGTTGGCATTAATGAGTGAAAATTGTACCACTAATGCAGGGTCCCCTGCCAGAAAAAAGGAGGCATCAGATTTACAATGAACGGTCACTCATACTTCAACTTGGTGCTCGTGACCAACGTTGGAGGTTCTGGTGATGTCAATGCAGTTTCGGTTAAAGGTTCTAGAACCGACTGGATACCAATGTCACGCAATTGGGGTCAAAATTGGCAGAGCAACTCCAATCTTGATGGTCAAAGCCTATCGTTTAAAGTCACCACTGGTGATGGCCGCACTTTAATTTCCAACGATGCTATTCCTGCCGGTTGGTCCTTTGGCCAAACTTTCACCGGCGCCCAGTTCACTTAATTAATGAATTTAGCTATTAAAAAAATAAATCTTATTGCAGCGTGATTAACTAGGACTATTAATTAGTATTGATTGGAAGGGCTTGTTTTTAAAGTGGCTCTAAACCTTTTTTTCTTCTTTATTTTGTGTTTTATGCTAGTAATATATGAAGTCGCAAGTTTCTGTCTGTGGTTATTTTAGGACAGAAAGTGGGGACCGAGGTGGTGGATTTTTATGTCACCACCCGCCATAGTACTTCATTCTAGGGGAATACTATAGTTTAGTGGTAAAACCTGTTTTTTTACTAATTCTTCATTTTGGTTTGCATGAATAGTAAAACAATATATTGTGGTCGTTTAAGTATGTCATTTTCTTTTTCTTGATTTGCGTGTGATTTCTGATTGTAAAACAGTTGGTGTTGTATGTTTTTGTCTCTATAAAAGAAGTGAATAAAAGTCAGTATTATTAATCTTTGCATTTATGAATTGTCATTTTGTTTTTGTTTGTATAGCGCAACAGGAAATTAGGGAGAAATTCAAAAATAGCCAGATTTACAAGTGGTCATTCAAAAATAGCCACAGTTTCAAAAATAATCGAAATTTAGCCACTTTTTATGTAAAGATAAATCTGAACGAAAACACAGTTCAAAATCCGAAAAAATACTCCAGTATAATATACTGGAGTTCCAGTATAAGTATACTGGAATTCCAGTATATTATACTAAAGTTCCAGCATAAGTATACTGGAGTTCCAGTATAATATACCGGTCCAGCATAATATACTGGAGATTGGAGCACCGGTGCTCAATCTCCAGTATATTATACTGGAACTTTCCGCGTCTTGGAGATCCAGCATAATATGCTGGAGAAATTCATACACAGGTGCACCGATCTCCAGTATATTATGCTGGTATTTTCCGTGTTGCAGCAAAATAATGGCTATTTTTTAATGACTTTGCAAACGCTAGCCATTTTTGAATAACCAGTCCGAAAAGGGAAAATTAGTTAGCCCGTGCTATTTTTACGACAAAAAGGAAAGCAAAACAATGTTTATGGGCCTCTCAAATTTAAAAGCAAGAAAGCACCACTTCTAATATTTTCTTAACATCTTAGTTACTTTTATATCAATTTTCTTCACATGCCTTTCCTTGAATAAACAAAGCTTTACATGTTTATCTTCAAAACATGATATAAAAGACGGAACGTACTTATTTAATGGGCTCTCAAAAGTCTTCTTTAACAATCATAATGTTGCAAGATCCATCACGAAATATAGGGGTGTATTCGAATCGATTTATCGATAAATCGAATCGATTATTTGTTATTGGTTTATCGATATTGGTTTATCGATTTATCGATTTCGAAATTTTCCTTATCATGTTATCGATTTCGATTTCGATTTTGTCCTCTTCGGTTATCGGTTTATCGATAAACCGATAAGATATACTAAAAAGACAAATATACCCTTATTCTATAATACCCTTTCTTTTACCCTAAGTCCATAACCCTATTATTTCCTCTACCCTATTATGTTATAAACAGTGTTCGTCTTAGTTTAGCTTCTTTTTGTCCATATTAGTTAGGCGTGTTTATAGCGATATACTTTCCGTGGAATCCGCAAATTTTCTTATTGGTGTAATCGATAACTGAATCGATAAGCCCCAAAAATCGATAAATCAATCGAAACTCTATTGAAACGATAACGATAAGCATATGTACAAATCGATAATCGATAAGTAATTATCGAATCAAAATCGAATCGATAAATCGAATGCACACCCCTAGTAAAGTTGATCTATTTCGACGAAATAGATCAACTTTACTGTTTAGCCCTTTCCCGGATAATTGATGGACTTATAATTGGACTAGGACCGAACTGCTTTGGCCCAATTATTGAGGTCAAGCCCAAAGAGAGACAAAAATGTACTTGACAGTTGACACCTCTAATGTCAATTAACGGTTTACACCTCTGGTCAATATTTGATATTTTGTTTTTATTTTGCAGGAATAGACAAAAAGGACCAAAAGAAAAAAAAACTTCAAATTTTAATGTTAGAAAAACAAAAAAAAAATTATTTTAGGGTATCAGCAAAAATTTATGACTAGAAAGTGCAAATTTCTCACTTAGTAGTTCATGGGTGATTTTTTTTTTCATGGGTGATTTAAGATTATCCCTTTGTATAAACACAATGCTACTTATGTTTTTGAGGCAATACCATAATGTTTAGACCCCATATGTCAATGAGTGATAATGAGAAAAATGACAGAATGCAATATAAAATAAAATAGAATTTTGTAGAATTATTTTCCAACTGCATGTAGTAGTTTAAAATAATATAGGATTTTATACCAGAATTACTTTCCTTATTATGCAACTAAACGGTCCATTTCTTATACCCCGATGGACTCGCTGTAACTTTTTGTGCTTTTGTTGCATTGAAAGACAAGTTATATCTTAGTAGATGTATTAATATATTATCCATTGAACTGTTAAAGCAGTAAAGAGATTCATTTAGTATGTGTTTAGGACTTCTAAGCCTTAACCCTATAGTGACTACTAACGAGATCTCACCATCTCCTGAAATCTCCTAGATAGATATCTTTTGCCAGGACTAACTTTGAGTCAACCAATTGTCACATCCTCATTGGATATGAAATTATTCCACATGGCAAAATCCTCTCTCGTCCTCTCTGGCAATTTTTGGGACCCCCATCATCTTCTAAAACCAACAGAAACAAAGAAACAGATTTGAGGATATGGAGGCAGAGATAAGGATAAGATACATTTCTTCTCATTGGCTACTATCAAATTCACAATCCAATCCAGCCGTTGAATTCCTAAAAATCTTGTTGTCACACTTGGCACTCTTCAAGATTGAACTACAGCCACAACTATACCTTTGAAATGGCAGTACAAATGCATAAACAAAAGATACAAAGTTTAACTCAACTCAACTCCATTGCCATTTTTCTTGGTATCTCCCAACATCAGCAACAACATTTTCTTTTTAAAGTGGGAAAATGGCAACAGTTACAACTCAAGCTTCAGCTGCCATTTTCCGGCCATGTGCCTCAAAAACCAGATTCCTCAGTGGGTCATCTGGTAAATTAAACAGAGAGGTCTCTTTTAAGCCCTTGACTTCTTCATCTTACAACTCATTCAAGGTTGAAGCTAAGAAAGGTCAATGGCTTCCAGGCTTAGCCTCTCCTACTTATCTTGATGGCAGGTACATATTGATCTGCATAATCATCTCATCTAAAATCTTAAGTTTTTTATAGAATATATTAAACACACGTCTTCTCACCTGTGAGCCTTGATTTTATTTTATGGGCTAAGCATGTGAATATTTTTCCTGATAATGAGTGACAACGTGAATTGTACTTAGGATCTTTCACCTGTACCACATAGAAATCATTTAAATTTAAACTGTTAGAGAAAAAAAAAAAGGGCAGTCTGGTGCACCGGGGTCCGAGGTAAGGTTGAACCACAAGGGTTTATTGTAGCAGTTTTACCCGCATTTCTGCAAGAGGCTGTTTCCACGGCTCGAACCCGTGACCTATCACATGACATCAATTTTCCCAATTACGTAATCATACGATTACCATTTTTTGCCTCTATAACTGAGTTGTCTAGTGGTTTCTAACCTTGCTCTAATACTCGACTGCTTGCTTGTCTTAGTCTGCCAGGAGACAATGGTTTTGATCCATTGGGACTTGCTGAGGACCCAGAGAACTTGAAATGGTTCGTCCAGGCTGAACTAGTGAACGGTCGTTGGGCTATGTTGGGTGTTGCTGGGATGCTGCTGCCTGAGGTTTTCACTAACATTGGAATCCTTAACGTGCCCAAATGGTACGATGCTGGAAAAGAAGAGTACTTTGCATCTTCATCAACCCTGTTCGTGATCGAGTTCATCTTGTTCCACTACGTCGAGATCAGAAGGTGGCAAGACATTAAGAACCCAGGAAGTGTTAACCAAGACCCTATCTTCAAGAACTACAGCTTGCCTCCTAATGAAGTTGGATACCCCGGTGGTATTTTCAATCCACTCAACTTTGCACCAACTGCTGAGGCCAAAGAAAAGGAAATTGCTAATGGTAAGTCCAACTACCACAACCCTGTTATATTTCACGTACGATCACTAAACTTTATCCACTGTAACAATAAAATAACAAAACTATTTTTTTCACATGAAGTAACTGAACTTTATCTACTATAATAGTAACATCACTAACTTTCACATGGATAATATGCAGGGAGATTGGCAATGTTGGCATTTTTGGGATTCATAGTGCAGCACAATGTAGTAGGAAAGGGACCTTTTGACAACCTTCTGCAGCACCTCTCAGACCCATGGCACAACACCATTGTCCAAACACTCAGCAACTAGGAAACCTCATGGAAACTGGATTGAATATATTGTTACCCTTGTAACCATGTTATGGTTTTTGATCAAGAATAGAGCTTTGTGGTAAACAAGGAACCTTTAATGTACAGGGCATTTAAAATTGCATGTCTTATTCGTGTTATTCCCACTAGATCATCAGTATATAAAGAGGAAGAAAAGCCCCCTTTAGCTAGTTCTCGACTCTCATCGAGACTTGGATTTGGTAAAAGGGAAAAGCTTTCTTTTAGTAGTTCAATTTGCATCTGAATTGCAGAAGAAATCCTCGTCATTTATTAAAGCAAAGTGAAATAAGTCTTGGTCTCAAATCTCATATATGAGCAAGCTCTTATTCTAAATATACAGATCAGAGCACAAAACCTATAACCATTTGAACATAATTTTCTACGAACAGCAACTGCACCTGTAAATATAACCTCATTCCCTAATGAAGAGTTCTTTTAGCCACAAGAAAACACAAGTTTTGCTACATCTCGGCTGTTTAATCATGCGAACAGTTCCCTTGCTGCAGGAAATAGATCCAAAAACTGAATGAAACCAAGTAAGAGATGTTAGACCAGACAGGATCAATTAAATGACAGTATATTTGAAGATGAGTTTTCCTTTAGTGGAATAATATAAAATTTGCATTCAGCATATTCAACTATCACAAAGAAGATAATAACATGTGCGAGTCAGATAAAATCAATTTGTAAGATTGAACAATTAAACATCATTGCTCCATTGATTAACTGTCCCACAGAGTTGAGAAATAACCTTAAGAATGTTTACGGGTAAAATTACCTGCGGATATGATTTTTCATCCAAAATTGGAGCTGCAGAGGCACCAGCTGCACTATCCCAGGAATTATTGACAGAATCCACAGATCTAGGCAGATTAAAATTTCTTTGAATTTCATAATCCATCAAATATCCTCTCAAATCTACCTCACTCTGAGAATCCAAACTTTTCCTTTCCAGCAGATTAAGATTATCGCAAGGATAGTACGAATATGGCTCACTTAGTTGCTGTCTCAAGCATGCTATACTATTTAAATCATCCCAAACAGTGTCATCTAGCATTGCAGTTGTCTGTCTTGCTCGGTCAAGCTCCAGTTCTTTTCCAGAGTCCAAAACATGAGAACATTCTGCAACAGATGTATCTCCGGAGCACCCCATATCTCTACAAAGAAACAACAATCATCATTTGATCGTAAGATCATTGCTAAAGCTGTTCCAGGCATGGTAATTGGTAAATAAATTAAAATATTGAAGTACATATATGATTTTAAGGACAGCAATTACCACAGTCCAGCAACTTCAAGGGTGAAATGATAAGATTGTAAAAGGGGAATGAAGTAAAGATGCTGAACAAACCGAGTCTAATACTCACCCTTGTGTTAGAAAGTTTGGTGCCACAGGGAATGGAATGTTCTGGCTGTTATTTGCCGGATGACATGTCAGGGTCTGCTCGTCTTGTCTACTGCCCATCGGAAGATGCAAATGTGTCATGCTCTGGAGCTGTTATACGAAATTCAAGTGCAAAACCGTTCAGCTATTTATACAGTTTACACTGCTTTTCCCTAACAGCAAAAGCAAGAGACCAAAACAGAAACAGAAGAACAAAGGGAGGAAGGGCAAGAGGAAGAGCAGTCCCTAAGTCTCCCAAAATCCATATCGAGGCAAAAGTATATAGTTCATCAATAGTATGACTGATTCCTAAAAATTTGTTGCTGCACTATGATCACCAATTACCACCAAACCAAATACTTCAGTATTAATCCAGCTTTTGGAAAAATTCCATATATTCCCTTCCGATTGTGAACTGCATTAAGTGACTCCCTTAGTTCGCACTCCATCTGTGTAAGATGCTCCTCCTTATTTATCTTATCAGAATTACTCCACCAGCTAACAACCATGCAGAGGAGTAAGGTCACTAAAAGATGAATGATGACATTAGTCATTTAGCCCATATGATCTAGTTCCAACTGCATATTAACTCGATCACTGAAGCAGCATATGTGGATTAAAATTAAAGCAACTGATGGGACTATAATCACACAAGATGGTATTAATTGGGCCTATAATCAAGCAGAATGCTATTGATTGCGTATAGATGTCCAACAAAAGTGTCCAAACTAGAAAAGTGACTAGATATTCCTCAAAAGTTTCTTCAAATACATTCAAAAAGCAAATGCAAATTACGATTACTCAATTTATTTTCGCAGTTGATAAAGAGGTCAATTTATGGCAACATTTGAACACCAAAAATGAAAAAAGAAAAACAAAGGAATGCACGGCTATACCTGAGTCTCTTTTCTACATCAGTAAGCCGAGATTGCAAGACTTTCACTTGGTTGTGCAATTCCTGTCAGCACCAATTACAAGACTTAAGTTTTACAACAGAAGCCAAAATGGAGTTGACAGAGTAAAATACTGCATACCTCAACTGATGGATCACTGCAACAGAAACAAAAAGGGGGAAAGACAAGGTAAATGGTTAACATGATGCCTTACAACCTTGAAAAAGAGAACCATTCTTCTCGTTAGGTACAAATTTGAAAGAAAAGATCCTCAAATTGATTAAAGCTACTTACCTAGCATCTAGAAACTCTTGCACACCTACATCGTGGTCAAGCTTCTTAAAAGTTTTCCTCAGTGTCTGCAATGTAATCATTAACATTGTGATTACATTCACGTGGATGCAGAAATAAAAACAAACCAGAGAAAGCGGAAAAATCAGATTGGTGATGAATATCAAACTTACTTCAAGGCTCTCCAACTTCCTGTTTTAAGTTCAAGATTAACAGAAAACTGGTCAATTAGCCTCTATATCTTACTCTTAGGGATATAATCCAAATAGACAAGACTGTTTTTTGTACCTTTTTGCCCTTTCTTGAGGAGTCAATTGAGCAAATTTTGCAATTATTTCATCAAAATTGCTGAAGACATGCAACAGAAATTAGGGAATGAATAATCCTATAGTTCACCATAATGATGAAGGACCTGTGATTAGCTAGTGACAGATAAATAAAGCACAAGGACTAAATCAGCACAGAAGACTAACTCTGATCAAAGGCTAGTAGTAGAAAATAGCAATTAAAGCCTTCCTTCTGCACTTTGAAAATAGATGTCACTCGGTACATCTATTTAGAAGATCATATTCTAGAGGAGTAAAGACTCTTCATACCAGATACTTAAAAATTCGTTCAGTTTGACCTTTGCATGCCCAGTACACGATGCTAGATGTTTGGGAACTTGCAAAGATCGAGTACAGTCACCAATAGGCAATAAAGTAACCTGTTGTGTCACATCCCCCAATGAAGAGATCAATGATACTATGTAACAATCCTAACCTCATAGATCATTACATACACAAATGGTATTCCATGGATTTCAACTAAGGTACAATCACAGTGGTCCTCGATGAGACTAAAATGCAAAATACACCGAATTAAATCTAAACGCTAAAGAACTAATCTAATTTCTCATGACTTTCAATCAATCCACGTGCCTCCAACCAATTCGGATCATGACATAATACTAAATAAAAGTTCAAGGAAAGAAACTACAATGGTCGCTGCTGAAATGTTAATGGCATGTTCAAGCGTGACAGATGCTAGGGTAGTACCTTCGTTCGCCTAGAAATAGCGTTGGTTTTCCAGTCGGAGAAAACATAAGAAGGAGAATGTCGCTATCACATACCACTGAAATCTCCTTGGCTTTCTTCAAGATGCCAGCCCTTCGTTTGCAATAAGTAACCTGCCGGTTACTACTGCTCTCCAATTTCCTCATGTTAAGCCTTACCCTTCCCATCCTATAGTATAAACAACCAAAATAGAACATGGCAATTAGGCTAAATCACCAAATTGTAATGGAATTAGGCTAGAAGTACCTTAAGGCTATAAGCTCAAGTAGAAATGCAGTGTGGTGAAAGAGCTAAATTACATTCTGAAGTTTTGCGAGACGACGAGGGAGGAGTAAATATGGGTTTCCCTATATAGATACCGAGAATAGAAGCAGCACAGGAATCTCTAGTGTCTCTTTCAAAGAGATACTCCGTTACCGCATTTTGGAACTTGGGATTGCTCGTACTAACTAATAACCCATTTGGCAAAGCTGCAAAAATTAGCTTATTTTGAGAAGCGTTTTTTTTTAAAGTGTTTTTGTCAAAAGTACTTTTGGCGAGAATAAGTTTGTATTTGGCTAATTAGTTTGAAAAGCACTTCTGAGCAGCAATTAGTATTTGGTCACGCTTTAAAAAACTGTCTAAGTGTATTTTTCTCAAAAGTGCTTTTGAAGCTATTTTTTCTGCTTCTCCAAAACTGCTTCTGCTTCTCCTCAAAAGCACTTTTTTCCTTCTAAAAGCTTGGCCAAACACCTCAATTTTTGGCCAAAAATGCTTTTGGTCAAAAAAAAATATATATTTTTGGTCAAAAAGAAGCTTGACCAAACAGGCTATAAGTCCCATGTGATCCACTTGTCAAACTCGACGTTTCAGGCAAGTCCCCGATCAAAACCAGGGGCGGATTTAGAAGCTTTGATATGTGATAACTGTTCGTTTTCTACTAAAAGGACTCGCTTTTAAGAGACAACACAAGTAGCTCTTCAATTTCAGTTAGCAATATCAGACTTTATTCGCACACATACCATTAACATCCTGAATTTGCCTCTAGCTCGACCAGCAAATTCTTATGAGACTTAATTGAGACCGCCCAAAATATAACACGCTTCAAACTTAATTTGTTGCAATTCTTCTGTCCAAAAGAAAAATGTACAAAAGAGTAAATAGAAATTAGTCGGTCGAAATTAATTTCATTCCCTAAAAAAATATATAAAATATGTATATAATAAATATATATCTATCTATATCTATCTATATCTATATCTATATCTATCTATCTATGTATATCTATATCTATATCTATATTATTATAAAAGCACCAATAATTTATGTTAAATGTTGAACGACTAAAATATCCCTGAAACATTGATCGACTATTATGCCCATAAATATTTGTATAATTTAAGGATCTAAATGGTAAAGTATTTAATGATGGAATTCTTTTTCGATTTAAACAATACATTTGCCTGACCCTACAACGTTGATCCTACTTGAATTAGAAAAGTACGGCCATAATTATCTTTCAAAGCACTGTTGTTCGAAATTACAAATTTTTTATATAAACAATGCAAGTACTAAATGAAAGGCAAGTACTGAAAGAAAAATTTAGTACTACATTCTAAAAACATCTACAACATTTTAAACAAAGCTAAAAATTCTTACTATCCTTTTAAAGTCTTAATTTGTATATAATTCATAGAAAGCTAAAACTTAATTAAGTTAGTATCTTTTTCCTAAATATTAGGAGTTATTACATATTTCAAATAAATTGAGTTAATATTTAAAATATTAAATAATAAGAAAAAAATTAAATGATAATTTTTTAAAATATATAAAATCTAATTTTAACGAATTAGAAATACAGGAGCAAGTTTATACGATTATTTTTCTTTTACATGATAATAAAGTGGTTCTAATAATACAAATGAGAGTGTGCTCTTTAATTTATTTATGTTTTACTTAAATATGAGTACTTGAATCCTTCTGAAGATATTGTATTTATGAATTTAAGTTTTTTTTCCTTCAAATTATCTATCTTTTTCATATTTACCGTATTCTAGATAATAAATATTTGTTTTTTAAAAAATAAAAATTTGTATTGTTTANTTTATAAAATAAAAATTTGTATTGTTTAAGGTATTGATTTGTTGAGGGATACGTATAATACTTTTAGAGCAATAGAGTAATATAATTAAATGTAACTATTCTTCATGTTCACGTAATTATTGATTATTCTTGATAGTAAATATTTAAATAGTGGAGATTTATCCAAGAATTTTAAAATTGTTTTAACTCAAACGACGTGGAATGAATTTCAAAATTATCCTATACTTCTTCGTAATTTCCGATAATATTTTTAAGTAAAAAGCTGTAAACTCGACACAATTTGTGATTCGTGTTGATTAGCATATATGTTATTACTCTTATATATGTTCAATAAATTGTGAAAAAAACTTTTCAAAAATGTTATGTTATATGTTAAGGAAAACAAATCATCTTAATAGGTGCCACATGTAATTATTTTTCTTTCATGGTTATGACTATTATTTTTGTTATATTTGATGAGCG